CCAAGTAGTATTTACTTACAGTATTGTATTTGTACTACTAGTGCTAGATTGTGTCGAGTATATCATCTAGTGGTGGTTCTAGAACCAGATCCATGGAATTTTCTGCTTTGACTGACAGTAAAGGTGACTCAAGGCAAACCGGTAGACTCAAACTCCTTTGTGCACATGTTGTTTGATGAAATGTCACACCTAATTTCTGCGAGACATGGCTTTGCTGGTCTCGAGTATTACCATGGCTTAGCTAGCACATTTGCTGATTTTGTGTCTGTATATGCATATGCTTCCTTTTAAACTGGCAAAAAAAGTAAGATTCTCATCTCTGAATGTTCTCCTTTTTGGTTATTTCCATGTTCTGGTTTTAGGTGGAACATATTGAAGAATTCTGTTGTATGTATATAGTGAGGTACTTATTTCTCCAATTAGACTTTGAATGCCTGAAAAACAGCCAGGCTATGAATTTGTACCTTTTTGTTTTGTTTTGTTGTAAGCATACTTTTCATCGAGTATTTTAGACTATCAAGGATCACGTCATACTCTGGATCTAGCTTTTATAGCTATTCACTCCTACTACAGAGCTAGCAAATAAATAGATGCTTTGCAAAATGTCGAGAACTAATGAACAAAGTAGAAACACTATTGCAACGGAAGTCTGTTTGATCAAGCTCTACTCCTACAGTGAGACACATGATGCTCATTTCGACGCATGTTGGAAAAAAAAACTCTACTCCTGCAAAGTAGTGTTATTTTAGTAAGTGGTACAGCTATCAAATTATATTGAGGTAGTAGATGCAGCAGACCAAGCACATCCACTTGCCCCCAAATTGAATGCAATACTCGCATTGGATTCCATTTTCATGGAAACAAGCTTCCGCACATCTAGCTTGCTTACATCGATTATCGTAGGATTTTGTCTGAAATTGGTTAACGTTGGTTGAAAACCCAGCCACCTTGCACGGCTCAAGAAAATATAAACAACTTTTTCTGTACAACTTCATATAACAGAACACTCCCCTGGACCAATATAACACTGACTTTCTAACTGGGTTCAGTTTCAATATGCATCACAGCAGCAGCGGCCACGAAACTTGTCCTGCAGCATCATGCATGGACTGATAAACATAGCACAACTACAAGGCCGAAGTAGTAGCCCAGGTTATACCAAGCTTGACCAAACCAAATGCTGGAGACGATTATTTGTCTTCTCTGAACGTATTCCTTTTTGGTTCTTGCCATGTTCTGATTTTTGTGCCAAATACTGAAGAATTCAGTTGTATTGGATCAGATCTTGTTGTATGCCTATAATGACTCTCAAAGTCCTGACAAACAATCATACTACTAATCACAGTTTTGTTTTCTTTTGTTGTAAGCATGCTTTCTCATCCAATACTTTGGACTACAAGCATCGCGTCATAATTTGGGCCTAGCCTTTTTAACTATAACAACTTACAGCACAGAATTAACAAAAAAGAGATGCTATTGGAAAACATATACTCCTAGATACTAATAAAACAAGAACAAGCACATTGCATTTCTGTATAGAAACCAATGTTGGTTGTTTCAAGTTTGTCTTTTGGTCCCTACAGGCGACGTTCCTCTCATTGGTGTACTCCGATGTGTGGAACCTAAATACTCCCTCTTGTTTCTAAATGCAAGTCCTTTTAGAATTTACGGACTACATACGGATGTATATAGACGCATTTTAGAGTGTAGATTCACTCATTTTGCTCTGTATGTAGTCTGTATTGGAATCTCTAGGGAGTACCTCTTTTTTCTACTAAGGTGAGAATCCAGCTGTCCTTGTGTTGTCAAAAAAGATATTTGATTTTTTTTCTCTTTTTTCTATTTACAGTTTGTGTCTTATATGTTATAACGTCGGTATCTTTCTATTAAATAGGATATTCAGAATCTATCAGTGCTTGAGGCTTAATGCTTAATGATAGCAATTTTGACTGCAATCTGGAATATGTTTCATTGGCTGCACATATGTCATGAACTGTTGATCAATGCAAGAGGACCCTTTTGTGCAACAAGCGGAAATTATCTAGTTAAAAATAAAGATGCCCCATCTGTTAACATGCCAGAAGGTTCAGTTAGCTGTGCCTGTTATTATACATCAAGCCCCAAAATTAACATTGCCCTGCTGAGGTACAGCTAGCTTGTTTGTTTCTTGTTAGGATCAACTAATTGTCTAGAAAAATAACCAGTGCTGAGCTGTCTCAAGATTGCGTAATTGACTTGTGAATTCCGATTGGTTGAGGAAGTGCAGATCAGGCTAGCAGGTGGCCCCGGGCCCCAATTAAAGTGAGAAGTAAAACGGGGCAAATGATCAAATTTCTTATATATTGTGAAAGAAATAAAGATGCCCCAGCTGTTAACGTGCAAAGTCAGGAGGCTCAATTAGCCGTCCCTATTATTATACGTCAACCAGAAAACAATGTCCGATTCTGAGGTACTGCCAGCTGAAGCAAGTAGTTCATTTGTAATTAGCACAGCTAATTGTCTTTAAAGAATACCCAGTGCTGAGCTGTTGCAAGATTGGACAGTTGACCTGTGATTTGTTCAAGGAGTGCAGATCAGGCTCTACTCCTCTGTACAAGTACGACATGTCAATACTTGCATTTGATTCCGTTTTCATAATTAACTATGTATAGTACACAACTAACAAAGAAAGCGATGTTAATGGAAAATGTAGAGAACTAATAAAACAAAGAAACACTTTTGTGACAACAGTTATGAACACATTGCATTTTCGATTCCTAGAAAACATTGTGTTTTCGGAATCGGTCGGGTGTTTGAGGCTTAATGCTCGGAGGAATAGCAATTTTTTGCCTGCTATTTGGAATACGTTTCATTGGCTGCACAATCAATGCATTGGATGCCCCAGCTATTAACGTGCTATGTCAGAAGGTTCAGTTAGCTGTCCTACCCAAAAATTAACAATGCCCTGGAGCAGGTGCTGTCAGCTGAAGTGAGTAATTTATTTCTAGTTAGGCTTGGCTAATTGTCCAAAAAGAATACCCGGTGCTGAGCCGTTGCAAGATTGGGCAGTTGACCTGTATTTTGGCTGAAGAAATGCAGATCAACCTTTACTCCTCGGTAGAAGTACTGTGGTAATCAGTGCAAGCAACCACACGCTTCCAATTGGCCCCAGAAAGTCAATGCTCGCATTGGCTTCCATTTTGCCTCGTAAGCAAATGCATCTGCACGTCTAGCTTGCTCACACCACTATTCTCTTCTCCACCCTGAAATATATAATTGCGTTCCCCTGTGTTCTGCTTGTGTTGCTGATCTGAGCGTTCCAACAGCATAGTGCCATCCATTGTGAAGGATGGGGGCGCGTGACTGCATCCCATCGTCCTGGTAATTTTGTTTGTCTTTCTTAGTCTGCTCTGGTGGATCTCTCACATCCTGTGAATCATGTGCATTGGCTGATCTTAACTGGAACGTTCAGCCATTTGATAATTATAGTCTGTAAACTGTAAATTATCTTCCTGGTTTGCCCGGCAGATCTCTGAAGTTTGGTCGCTTGGGAGAACGCTGGTATCGAGGTTGAGGTTCACTGTCTTGGATATCATCGCCGTTTTGGTACCGCTTGCCGTCGGCAACACCAGGTATGCTCTGTTTCCTCTATCCTTATTAACCTCTTCAGATTTTGCTCAGGTGCAACAATTAATACCGAGCATTCGCTTGCTGTACAGCCTCTATCCGTCACAACCAATTGATCCACACGAACGTCAATGGCTGAACTGCAGCTCTGATTCCCTGTGTTCTCCGCCCCCCTCTACAGGTTCAGTGCCAAGGATCTTACCGTGGGTTGTGCTAAGGTACTCACGTTTTGTTTCCATTTCTCCTCAGAAGCATATGCACCTGCACGTCTAGCTTGCTCACACCACCATTATCTTCTCTCTGCCCTGTGTGTGGTTCAGCAGTTCTGCGTGTGCAACTGCGAGCTCTGAGCAGTCCGATGGCAGAGCTGGTGGCCACCATGGTGGTCGGGCCGCTACTGTTCATTGTGAAGCAGAAGGCGTCCAGTTACCTGCTGGACAAGTACAAGGTGATGCAGGGCATGGAAGAGCAGCACAGGGTGCTCAAGCGCAAGCTGCGTGCCATCCTGGACGTCATTGCCGACGCCGAGCAGGCGGCGTCCCACAGAGATGGTGCCATGGCCTGGCTGGAGGAAGTCAAGAGGGTGGCCTACAAGGCAAACGAGGTCTTCGATGAGTTCAATTACGAGGCACTCCGCCGCGAAGCAAAGAAGAACGGGCACTACAGCAAGCTTGGATTTGATGCAGTGAAGCTCTTTCCCACCCACAACCGTTTTGTGTTCCGTGACAAGATGGGGAAGAAGCTGTGCAGGATTGTGCAGGCCATCGAGGTTCTTGTGGCTGAGATGAACGCCTTTGCGTTTAAATATCAGCAACAAGCACCGAGGAGTTATCTTCGATCATGTTATCTTCGATCGTTATCTTCGATCGAAGGAAATCATCAGCAGATCGAGAAGCCAAGATACTAAGAATATTGTTGATACACTACTTGGTCATGCTAGCAATGAAAATCTCATGGTTCTTCCCATCGTTGGAGTAGGGGGGCTAGGCAAGACCACCCTAGCGCAGCTCATTTACAATGAACCTGAAATTCAGAAGCATTTCGAGTTGTTGATATGGGTCTGTGTCTCTGATAGCTTTGAAGTGGAATCCCTGGCTAGAAGTATCCTTGAATTTCTTCCTCAAAAAAGTACAGTTGACTCAGGCTCCAAGAAAAGCCCACTGGATAGGCTTCGAGATGGACTAAGCGGGTGTAGCTATCTCCTTGTATTGGATGACGTCTGGAACCGAGAGAGCGATAAGTGGGAAAAGCTCAAGGCCCACCTTACACATGGTGCCAAGGGTAGTGTGGTTCTGACAACTACTCGAGATGGCGGTGTCGCAAAAATAATGGGTTCAGTGAAACCCTACGATCTCGCAGAGTTGGAGGATGACTACATAAAGGAAATTATCGAGACGAGAGCATTCGGTTTGCAGAAGGAAGAAAACAGGCCTACCGAACTAGTGAAAATGGTTGGTGATATTGTGAAGAGATGTCGTGGCTCTCCATTGGCCGCAACAGCACTGGGCTCTGTGCTGCGTACAAAGAGCAGCGAAGAAGAATGGAAGGCTATAGCAATCAGAAGCAACATTTGCACCGAGGAGTCTGGAATATTACCAATACTCAAGCTCAGCTATAATGACTTGTCATCGCAGATGAAGCAGTGCTTTTCTTTCTGTGCTGTGTTTCCCAAGGATTATGAAATTGATGTGGACAAGCTGATCCAACTATGGATTGCACACGGGTTTATTCAGGAACAAAACAAAGTCCGTCCTGAGACAATTGGCCAAAGGATTTTCAGTGAGATGGCCTCAAGGTCATTCTTTGTGGATGTGAAGCAAGTCCGAGTCTTATTCAATGAGCGCTGGAGGAGGGGTAATTATTCCAAACATACATGCAAAATCCACGATCTGATGCATGATGTTGCACTATCTACAATGGGAAAAGATTGTGCTCTTGCACCTGAGAAACTAGGTCAGATAGAGTGGCTTCCAGATACAGCTCGCCACTTACTTCTGTCTTGTGAAGAACCAGAGATCATTTTGAATGAATCTCTAGCAAAAATATCTCCAGCAATCCAGACACTTATGTGTGATAGGATAATGAAACATCCATTACGGCATATATCAAAATACAGCTCTTTGAAGGCATTACAGCTCCGTACATGGAGCAGGTCATTCCCCTTGAAATCAAAGCATCTGCATCACCTAAGGTATCTTGATCTCTCAAGTAGTTGCATCAAAGCACTTCCTGAAGATATAAGCATTCTATATAACCTGCAAACATTGAACATCTCTCACTGCGGGAGTCTTCGTCGGCTTCCAAGACAAATGAAGCATATGACTGCCCTTCGTCATCTCTACACTCATAATTGTCCAGGGATGAGGAACATGCCTGGTGATCTCCGAAAACTCATGTCATTACAGACACTTACATGTTTTGTAGCAGGTCCTATTGGCTCTAAGTGCAGTGTTGTTGCAGAATTGCAACAGTTAAACCTTGGTGGTGAGCTACAGCTACATCAACTAGAGAATGTGACAGAAGAAGATGCAAAATCTGCAAATCTCAAAAACAAGAAGGAACTTCGAGAATTGTCATTAAAATGGACTGTTGGTGGTAGTGATGATGCAAGGGTGCTCGAGGGTCTCAAACCTCATGATGGGCTGCAGGCTATAATGATAGAATCCTACGGAGGAACCACCTTTCCAACATGGATGGCTATCTTGCTAAATATGGTTGAGATCCATCTTTCCGACTGTAAAAAACTTCAATGGTTATTCAGTTGTGGTACATCCTTCACTTTTCCAAATCTGAAGGTGTTTACACTACGAGGTCTGGAATGTTTGGAACAATTGTGGCAAATAACAAATGAGGAACAAGATGAAGAGATAATATTTCCTCAGCTTGAGAAGTTGTGTGTTATAGGTTGTCCAAAGCTTACAATGAAAGATAAAGCACCAAAGCTGACTGAGTTAGACTTCAAGGGAGTTGAGGAAGAGATATTCCTGTGGGTAGCTAGATATATGACTTCACTGATCAATCTGAAACTGAAGAACCTTGAAGGCACGGAAACAACCTCTACGGCGGTTGATCATAGTTTGAAACAAGTGATGGACGTCATGGAAAAAGAGAATCATCATGATTTCCCTCTGGCAGATATGAAGTTAAATGGCTTGAAGTCAGGTGTAACTGAGCTATGTGCATGTTTTAAACAGCTTCAACACTTGCGTATTGATGATTGTACTGCACTTGTCTACTGGCCAGAGAAAGAGTTCCAGAGCTTGGTATCCTTGAGGAGTCTAGAGATTTGGTACTGTAAACAGCTGGTTGGATGTGTAGATGCTCCTGCAGCTGAGCCATCAACAGTTTCAAAACCCTCGAGTCAGCCCCTGCCACATCTCGAGTCTCTCTTTATATGGGGTTGTGAAAGGATGGTAGAGGTCTTCAAACTCCCTGCATCCATGAGGAAAATGACAATTGAGAATTGCAGTAACCTCAAGTCCATATTCAGCAGGAGTCTTCAGCAGCAGGGAGAGTCAGCATCATCGATTCTTCAAGGGTCACCTATACATTCAGAGGTGTTATCATCATCAGCCATAGCCAGGGTGGAACATTTTCCCTGTCCATGTTTAGAAGATATAGTCATACACACGTGTGACAGCTTAACAGGGGTCCTCGATCTTCCCCCATCCCTCAAGAGAATTGCAGTTTCTCGGTGCTGTGAGTTGAGATCAGTGGAATCTCACTCGGGAGAGTTCCCATCATTGGAGAGGCTTTACATTGAAAATTGCAAAACCCTGTCATCCCTGCCGGATGGGCCACAATCATACACATCTCTCCGGTGCCTTGAGATTGGAAACTGTCCTGGTATAAAGAGGCTCCCTGCAGGCCTGCAGGAGCGTCTAAGCAGCCTCGAGGAGAAACATCTAGATGCCCGCTATCAAGGTACGTACGCATGCGCCTGATTCCTTCTATTGGCTTGTCACATTTCAGCAACAAATTCAGAATCCTTCTGGATATACCACTACTCGAGCTGGATGCAAATATTCTAGCCAGCTAGCTAGATACGTAATTTAAAGGAAGAGGGCCTTGATTTTTTCTTCAGTGTAATGACAGCAACTATACTGCAGTAGAGAGTATATTTAATCAAGTAGTCACAGATAATGGCAATTGCACACCTAAAGATTAGTACGGTGGTACCAGTACCCAATTCTTTGTTCATTGCACTGTTCCTTGTGCTTCTTCCAGTGTAAACTACTATGATATTTCATAACTAGTATACTTACAAATTCACTGTGACATCATTTGTGAACAGAGCCTACTCTACTGAAGCCCAAGACATGGAGAAATGCCTTCCGCAGAGATTAGTGAGCTGTCAAGAAACTCAAGATGCAACACCATCACCATGGGAAGTCATGGTGTCACGCCACCACTATGGGAAGCTGCAACCAACCAGCAGCAGAGAATCTATATTCAGAGTTTTTTTTATTTCCGGTGTTGATTGTGCACGGCTCCTACTTGGCAGAGCTGTTTCGCGCGTACAGCCTGTCTAGGGCAGAAATCATGCATATTTGGATAGAGTACGTATTGCCGTGCTTTCGTTTGTGAGCCAAGCAATATGTGACACTTAATTTAAGTACTCCGTCACTGTATTTTCCTGTTCCAAGGAATGCACCATAGCTGGAACGCAGATAGATGATGGCCTTTTATGTATCTCCTTAAGTGTAGTTTCAGTAGTCACTGTATCACCAACTACATGCGTGAGCAGCTACTCCCTTTGTAAAAGCAAATGGTGTTGGTCGTTTTGTTCGTCCTTAGTGACTCTTTGAGCACTGTTTGCTCAGGAGTAAAATTTCATGTTTTATTATAGGAAACAGAGCATGTTTTATTTTAGCAAACAGAGCAAGTCCACTCTGCTCTCAGGTCAGCATTTCCAGCATTATTTATTGTTTACCCGGCTTTAGGAGTTGTATCTCATAGGCTGTGAGATTCCACTAACCTGAAACTGAAACTGCAGAACCATGAAGACGCGGAAGAGATGTTCATGGTCTGTTTCATACTTCATACTCTAAGTTGGAGGTGAGGCAGATATGTTCCTGTGGGTTTCATTGAACCATCAAGACGGCGGCTGATCATAGTTTGTTTGACACAGGCCGTGGACATCAACGGCAACAGCCGGATCTCCAACATCAAGCCTTCTTATTTGCCCCCAAGTCCTCCAAGATTACATTGCTCTGTCGACAGCTCTGCCTCCCATAACATTTCGGCAAAAGATTCAGTCATCCTTTCAGAGATTGGTGAGGCGTCAATATGTAACCAAGTAGCGGCTGAACTGTTCCTGCAATACAAATCATGATTGGATAAAGTGTACTGCCCCGCTTTCGGCAACCGACATTAATTTGTATGCCAAAAACTCTGTCACTTAACTTAGGTATGTCGCTCAATTTCTTGTTCACCATGACTCTGTGTGCCATATATGGAGCTAGCACGTCATATGGCTAGTGTGTTCAGCTAATGTTGTACTCCTCCGATCCATATTACCCCTGCTTCGGTACAACTTTGGAGGGAGTAATCAATTTCTAAAGGGAAAAAATTGTATATGCTTGAACAATTGCCTAACTTGATCCCTCCTGACCCTCATTTGTCTGCCTGCGCAACCATGCCCCCAACTTCATAACTCGCATACCGATACAGATACAAACACAATGCAACACCGATCATCACATATGTAGGTAGCATAAGACAACAACAACGGACAACACAAGACATAGTTTAAACATAGTTTAGCCACGAACGACATAGGACAACAAAAGGAGACATATGGATCAGAATTTAGATGCCAGCTATCTACAGTATGCTTGTTTCAACCACCTGGTGGTGTATGGATCATACTACATGCAATCTTTCAATATTTGTCTTGAAAGAAAACTTTTATAGCTGAGTAAATATCACCTATTATGGCGGAGGGAGCGCGAGCTGCGCGACAAGGCGAAGCGGTCGATGCGGGAGCGTACGGGCGGCCGTGATGCGCGGGAGGAGCACGGTGCTTTCCAGGATCAAGGAGGGCGTGAGGGGGATTGGGGTCCTCCTCCCCCTTGGTGGATCCAGCAACAGGAGCACAAAAGGAAGAAGAAGGCTGGCCAGAGGCGCAGGGAGCTC